GCTGGCACAGTGGCATCAAGGGCTCAGAAAGATGATTCTCTATGCAGGCACCTCTGAGGGCCAAGCAAGCACACAAGCCGTGATCTCACCAGTGGCCTCGCCTCACCTCAGGTGAGCTCCACTCCTCCAAGGCCGTAAGAGACCTCAAGCCCCAGAGGCCAACACCACAAGGGAGTGGCACACGTACAGCCCGACTCACGTGCAGGAGCACACTGCAGCCCCAGAGAAGACCAAAGCTCTTCCCTCCGCAGCCAGGCCATCCCCCCACCCAGGGAGATTTCTCCACCACAGCGAAGGCGCCAGACGGTGATCAGCCACCTGTCCCATGCCTGTGATAGGCATCCTGGGCCACATCCATGATCACGTCCTGAAACTGCAGGATAAAGAGAGTAAGGGCAGGGCTAGGGAGATAGCTTAGTGGTCTAAGTGCCTGCCTGGCAAGCGCAAGGATCCAGGTTCGATCCCCAGTACCACATACCATGCAGGCCACTGAAACCAGAAATGGTGGTGCACACCTGTAATCCTAGCACTGGGGATGCTGACACAGGAGGATCACTATGAGTCCGAGCTGCATAGTGAGACCCTGTACCAAATAAATACATTTGAGAGAGAGGGGGAGACAGATAGACAGACAGACAGACAGACAGACAGAGACAGAGGCAGAGAGAGAAGCAAGAGCAGCAGACTGATTAGTCTGGCAGAGGAAATTTCAAAGCAACCCAACGTTCAGGCTGTAGCATGGGCAATATTGACTGCTCTTACCAAGAGTCCCATAAGAATCATGAACATGGGGCTGGTGAGATGGCTCAGTGGTCTAAAGCACCTACTTAGAACAAGCTTAGCAAAGCACAGGGACCACGGTTCAATCCCCCAGCACCACATGCCAGCCAGCCCTGCCCCCTGGTGGGCTGAGCTGGCCACACACACACACACACACACACACACACACACACATAAATAAAAATTAAAAAAAAAAGAATCATGAACAAAAATGAGAGCTGAATAATTTAAATTTTTTCTGGGGGCTCTTAAGAAAATCTCTCTGTATTTGGGGCCTATAAAGTGGAGCAGAAAAGACTGCATTATTGCTAAAATGATTAGCAAACAGCCAAGTACTTCATATCCAAACAATAGAGACACGTGGGTTTAGAAAGGTGTTTCTGAGTGCCTGTCCCTGCCAGGCTTCTCACAGCCCTTCTCAACCCCTCACCACCACTCTCTGCTGCGCTGCCTACATGTGTCCACTTCTGAATTGAAGGTCAGAATCCTGTGTTTCTCAGAATGGGGTCACTGATGGGTTTTGAGGGCACAAAGTCAGAGCTCAACGTGTTGGGGGTAAGTTAGAAGGAATATCATAGGCAGGCAGACAGGGCTGGGCCCTCAAAGGACCCAAGATGGAAAACTAAATGCTTTGCGATGGTGGGAGAGATACAGGTACCTCCACTGCGGGCCAGAACTCAAGACAAAAGATGAAACAAATGCAGACACATACCTCCTTAGGAAGGAACATCAGAGCTTGATATTCTAAATAGGTATCAGCCACCTTGAAGAAGCCACAGAGCTTCACTAACCCAACCCCTACAGAAAGAGCCCCGGTTCTGTGTTCATGTCCACTTGCTATTTGATTCACTTCTCCACTTGATCTCAGATTAATCAATTCTACCTGAACAATTATGTTTGTAATCTTATTGGTTGACCATATTTTTGTCCCGCCTCCTGCCCACCTAAGCAAGTTCCCATATTTCTCACCTTAGACCCAACTCACCTCATGGCTTTGCCCTATAAAGATCCCTAGAAAAGGCAGATTCCTTTGCAACCCACTAGGGTCCCTTTCTGTCCCTCTCTCAAACAGAAGCTTTCTTTCTCCCAATAAATATATTCTGCTCTTAACCCTGCTTATTCCTAAAATTCATTCTTCAGTTTTAGAGAACATAAACTGGTCCAGGGTATTTTTCAGGTTGGGAGCTTCATTCCCCTGTATCACGATGAAGGGGAAGGGAGTGCAGCACCTGAGGCTCCCTGGAGCATCAGCTCCGGGCTGGTCACTCTGTCCCTCTCACAGGTCTCTGCTCAGCAATACAGACTTCCTGATCCTCCTACTTGAAGGTGCCCCTATTACTTAGTATGCTCAAAGCCAGTCTCTGGGAAACAAGCCTCAGAGGGCTCCTTGTCCGGGGACAGCACCAGCCTGCAAGACACTGTGAGCTCCAATGTCCACTGATGCCCTTCTGCAGCCCTTCAGACTCCAGAAGGGGCCCCTGATCCTGAGCCTTATATTTATCTTCATTTTATTATTAAACACCTGTTATGGTTTGTACATAAGTGTCCCCTGCAAAGCCTCATATAGTCACTAGGAAGGGCTTCTAGACTTTGTGATTAATTCATGATCCAGCGCTGGGATTATGGGTGTGAGTGTTAGTGGGATTATGGGTATAAGTATTGCTGGGATTATGGGTGTGAGTGCTGCTGGGATTATGGGTATGAGTGCTACACTCAGCCTGGTGCAGATAATCTGAATGCAACATACAGGAGACAGACTTGCTCTCTGCTGCCATCGAGGCTGCTACTCCTCCCATTTGTTCTTGTTTTCCACCATGAACTGTTACCCTCTGCTGTTGTTTCATTTTGAACCAATTTTTCAGGATTATATCTGGTAACCTAAACAACTAGTTTAAGTGATAACATCATGCAATACAGCAACCATTATGGAATTCCTATTACTTAGTTTAATGAAATTTTGTATTGCTTCTAATTGTTTTTTTAAAAAACTATATTGTATTCTTCTAAAATAATAAAATAGAAAGAACTTTTAATTTGCACCTCTTGAATGACAATGATGGTGAACATTTTTTTAAAAAAAATTATTTATTTTGTGTGTGTGTGGCCAGCTCAGCCCACCAGGGAGCAGGGCTGGCTGGCATGTGGTGCTGGGGATTGAACCGTGGTCCCTGTGCTTTGCTAAGCTTATCTTGTTCTAAGTAGGTACTTTAGACCACTGAGCCATCTCACCAGCCCTGATGGTGAACATTTTTGCATGTATTTATTTGCCATTTGTATTTCTTCATCTGAGAAATGGATATTCATCTCAGATGCCTATTTTTGGATTGCATCTTTGAATTTGGGGGTCTGATTTTTTTTTTCAATCCTTTATATGTTCCAGGTAGAAATCCTTTGTCTGAGTGACAATTGGCTAAAAGTTTCCTGCACTTTGTGGGTTGTCTTTTTACTCTGTTGATTTTTGTTGTTGTTGTTGGTTATTTTTTTTAAATTTATTTATTTTATTTATTTATTTTTGTGTGTGTGTGGCCAGCTCAGCCCACCAGGGGGCAGGGCTGGCTGGCATGTGGTGCTGGGGGATTGAACCGCCGTCCCTGTGCATTTGCTAAGCTTGTTCTAAGTAGGTGCTTTAGACCACTGAGCCATCTCAGCAGCCCTGTTGTTGGTTATTTTTTTTGGGGGGGGTGTTATAAGAAATTAAAAAGAAGAAAAAAAATAAAGATAAAAAATTTTAGGCATTAACTGCTCCTTTCAAAAGACCAACAGAAATTGGCAGTATAATTATCCAAACTATCCTGCATATATACACAAATATATCTTTTTTCTTTTCTTTTCCTCATCCTGGTTAAAAGTTCTGTTTTTACTCTTTCAAGTTTGGACACTTGGGAGACCATACGATGTTTACACACGGGGCTCTGATTTATTTCACTCATGAGTGTGGGCTGTAGTTGCATCCATTTACCTCTTTCTTTCTTTCTTTCTTTCTTTCTTTCTTTCTTTCTTTCTTTCTTTCTTTCTTTCTTTCTTTTTCCTGAACGGGGGATTGAACTCAGGCCCTTGCGCTTGCCTTGGATGGCTTATTCCACTGAGCCATCTCCCTGGCCCTACTTTTATCTTTCTTTACAGCTCAATAATACTGCATTGTAAAAAAAAAAAAAAAAAAAAAAAGTACCACATCTTGGTGTAATAGATACTGTGAAAAACTGTATAAAGGGAAGGAACAACTGGGATGAAAGAAAGGAGAGGAAAGAAAAAAAGCAGGAAGAGAAAAATATATACGTGTATACAAAGAATAGTTTGGATAATTGTACTGCTGATTTCTACTGGTCTTTGTTTTTTGGTGCCCCCCCCTCCCCTGTTTCACATGGTCTTTTAATCGGCTTCATAAACCAAAGAAAACTGAGTACAAGAATTCCTTAGCCACTGCAAATACAACATCAATGGAGTATGCATATGTCTTCTGGTAAAAAAAGGAAAATATAAATAAATGTCTTCAAAAACCTCGGCGCCTCTGCACGGTCCCGCAGGCGCGCTGCACAGCTGGCGCAGGGCAGCCTCTCTGCGCCGGGCTGCTGTCCTACCAGGCTACCCTCAAACGGCACATGAAATCCCAAAAGCCACAGCTTGCTCAGCTTCTAGCAAAGAGCGGATCCAGAGTCCATTCAACCTTAATGAAATGGATTGAGGCACCCAATTTCATAGGTGACCCCACCAAAAAAAATCAGTAAAAACAACCACCAAACCCAAAAATCCATTAACAGAGCTGGGGCACAACTCAGTGGTAGGGTGTTGGCCTAACATTCAAGGCCCTCAGTCTGATCCCCAGCATCACAAAGTTGGAGAAAAAAAAAATTAACACAACCCCTGATAATTTTTTTAAAAGCTATGGTTCATGGTTTAAAAAAAAAAAAAAAAAAAGTAAACTCAAATACTTTTCAAAACGCCTTCAAAAACCTTAAAAATGGAGCTTCCTTAAAAAGCAAAAGTCTATATTGCTATTTGTTTCTCAATAAAATTATGGGAAAAAAAAAAAGCAAAAGGCTAGTAATGAGGCCATCTCGAGGGTCAGAAGCAGTCAGGCAGGGTTGACAAGATAGGAACAGAAATGACTACAAAAGTTGAAATACAAGGAGGTGTGCTCACTACACATCAGCGATTCAGCGCAGCTCCCAAAATCTTTGCATACACAGCCATGGCAGGACTGTCTTGGGCAGGAAGGATCTTTACTCGTTGTGTGTAGCGTAGCTGTCTCTGTGGGACCCCCCTGAGCTCCGCTCACCGTAGCCGTCACCCCGACTCCGGCTGCTGTATCGGTCTCTGGAGCCACCATACCCCCCACTGCGGGACTCAAAGCGGCCACCACCATAGCCTCGGTCCCCTCCCCCTCTGGAGAACCCACGGCCCCGGCCCCCTCGGAAGGAACCCCGACCTGCAGCAGAGCCACCTCGGTACCCTCGGGATGGGTTGTCGGAAGACTTCCCAGCCTGGTCAACACGGATCTGTCGCCCGTCCACTGACTTCCCATTCACAGCTATCATGGCATCCTTGACATCGTCAACGTTTTTCAAGGTGACAAACCCAAAGCCCCTCGATCGCTGGGTCTCCCTGTCTTTCACCACTTCAGCGATCTGGCCATATTTGCTTTTTTGTTTTTTTTTTTTAATTTTATTAACTTTGATGAGAAAAAAAGATAAAATAGCAATGAAATAGTTTCAAAACAGGTTAGTAGGACAGTTACAATAACTAATATATTGTTTTGTTTTTTTTTTACCATCTACTTTTGGGTCATTCCCAAAACCAAAATGATCATGAAAAATAAATGTTTTGAACTGATTCGGGGCATCAAGGCATCCAGGAAAGTGGTCCTCACAGAAGAGGAAAGTCACTCACAGAAGAGGACTTGTGGAGCCACTTCAGGAGGTTCTCCAGAGAATTACAGGATAAATATGGTCAAAGCAAAGAAGATTATTTTGAGTGAGATTATTGACAATGTGTCTTTTACTGTAATACTTTTTTATTTTTATTTATTTATTTTTTCTTTTTTAATGTATTGAGTACAGGGTCTACAGGGTCTCACTATACAGATCGCACTCATAGTGATCCTTCTGTTCTCAGCCTCCCAAGTGCTGGGATTACAGGGATGCGCCACCATGGCCAGTCTCAATCTCCATCTCAGAGCCCCCTGGGGGCGGGGCCAGCACTGCATGGTACACCTGGGATCGAACCTCTGGTCGCTGTATTCTGCCTAAGCAGGTACTTCAGTCCGCTGAGTTTTCCGGCTGATCTGGCCATATTTGGAGAAGACCTGCTCCAGCGACTGCTTGTTGGTGTCAAAACTCAGCCCTCCAATAAAAAGCTTGCCTTCATCGGATGCCATGGCAGCCGCTGAGTCAGGCAGGTCTCCGACGCGGGCGGGAAGACAGCGCGGCACACGGACCAAAGCCTCCTAACGCGCGAGTCTCTACTGGTCTTTGAAAGAAGCAGCTAATGCTTAATTTTTTTCTCTCTTCTTAATTTTTTTGGAACAATTTTACATTCTTGTATCTGGTAATCTGAACAACTACTTTGAAGACAACAATAGGCAATATATAACAACCACTGTTGAATCCCTATCAATTTGTTTAGCTATATTCTCTATCATCTCTAATATTTTTTACTATTTCTTATTCTCTTTAAAACATAAAAATAAAAGTACAACAGATTCATAGGAATACAAAAAAAATTGTTTTTTAACATCGTAGTTTTCAAAAGCCATAATCTTGGGCAGGGGAGATGGCTCAGTGGAATAAGTGCTTCCCGGGCAAGCGCAAGGGCCTGAGTTCAATCCCCGGTTCTGCCAAAAAAAAAAAAAAAAAAATGTTCTGGAAGGCAATGGGAAGGAAAAAGAATTAAGATGTGTTATGTACATGCATCAACTCCACATGATGGATGTAATCATTATTTTTAAAAAACACATAATAATACACATCAAAGAAAAAATTTAAAAATGTGTTATACAGTATTTATTTATTTTTTTATATTTATTTAATTTATTTATTTTGTGTGTGTGTGTGGCCAGCTCAGCCCACCAGGGGGCGGGGCTGGCTGGCATGTGGTGCTGGGGGATTGAACCACGGTCCCTGTGCTTTGCTTAGCTTAGCTTGTCCTAAATAGGTGCTTTAGAACACTGAGCCATCTCACCAGCCCTGTTATACAGTATTTAAAACATATTCAAGCCCAGTGTAATGGCACATGCTTATAATCTCAGCACTCTGGGAGGCATGGCCGGGGACATGGCTCAGTAGAATATGTGCTTGCCTGGCAAATGCAAGGGCCTGAGTTCAATCCCTGGTTCCGCAAAAAAAAGAAAAAAAAAAAAAAAAAAACCCCGCCATAATATTTTTAACTACCGGCAACTCATTGTACCCCACCTCCTTGGCCCCTCAGCCTAGCTATCAGGCCTGACCTGCGCTTCACCCTCAGCCTGGGCCCCAGCTGCCAGCCCTGAGAACCACAAGCGCACTGTGAGTTCACCTGTCCTAGTCTCACACCTGGGTGAGACAGTAGGGACAACAAGGTAGGTTCCAGCCCACAGCCTTCATAGGGATCTGCCTCTGGGCTGTGTGTCTGGGTGGTGCCCCCGTCCAGAGAGAGCAGGAGTGTGTCACTCTCATCTTGGCCCCGCTGCACTCACCATGACGTACAAACTGAGTTGGTCTTGCTGAGAGTTAAGCAGTCTTGGGACTAGGACACAGCAGTCATACCCAGACACACTCTTACTCCGACAAAGCTTGTGTTCTGTGGGGTGAATTCACGCAGTGAGCAGGCCCACAAGGAGGTTAGTGGAGGTATATGAATCTGGCAATCAGGAATGAGGTAGGAAAACATATTTATTATTCGGGGAACATGCATGAGAGGGTGATGGGGACCCGTCTCCTCTGTGATGATCAGATGAGGCCTTGCTGAGCAGAGGCCATGTGAGTAGAAGCTGCAGAGATGGGAAGCGGGGCCCCCAGAGAGCTACAGAGAGCAGCCCAGGCGGGGGACAAAGCACACACAGGAGGCAGCTGAGGAGCCCCGGGGACCCAGCCATGCAGGCTCCACGGCCTCCTTACTGTTGCCTCTGCCTCGTCTTCCAACTTTGGTCACAAGTGTCAGCCTGTTTCACAAACCAAGCCCTCAGTGGCAGATGGACAAGAGCAGGCTCATCCATCGGTTCCCTCGGCAGCCATGAATTGTACACACTGACCCGTGGGTACCAGTTCTTGGCTGTGATAAGATAAGGTCCTGCTCTCTTGGAAGATGCTGTCTCATGAGAAGCAACCACTTTGTTGATTCTTATCCTCCCCCTGGTAACCATCTCCCTCTTTTCTCTGATACTTTTTAAAACACAGGTGGGAACCCAGAGGATGCCGTGAAAAGGCCTCCTCTAGGGTAGAGAGACAAGTGGGGCAGAGGTAGACTCACTGCAAAGGAGAAGGATGCCAGTGCTCTATCAGACAACGATCTGACATTATAGTTTAGCAGGAAATAAATAGAAAGGAATGCTGTTCTCACTGAACTCACATTCCAATAGGGAGAAAGAAACAGCTAACAAATGTGATAATACCTGTGCAAACACAGGAGACACAAAAGAGAGGAAGAATGCTTATGGTAAAACAAAGAGGTGGTGCCCAAGGCTGGAGTGCAGGTGACTATTATCAGATCCTTCCTGTTGGGTAATTTGTAAGTGAGGATGAGCTTGGTACAATGTGATTAATGAGAGAAAAAAATGAGTGGGCTCTGGGCCTTGGCCTGCTCCGTCTATCTTCCAAGACAATGGGACGCTAAGTCCTACAGCCTCAGGGGATTGACAATGCATGCTCATACACATGCACATCCACACACCCTAGGAACTTCCTGGCCCCCTCTATGCTCTATCTTAAAGCTTGGCTTGTGCTTAGTTCCCAAGCAGAGTGCATGTCCTTTTGTCTTGTGACCCTATTCATGGATCTGCTGTCGCTGAGCTCTGAGACCTCCCATTCCTCTCTTGTCCTGTTGCCACACTGCACTCCGCAGTGAGAGTACTCTGACAGAAAGGGTCAGGGGTCACAGCACCCACTTGAGCTATTGTGCAAAGCCAGAGGAAGAGCTGGGGATCAGAGGGGGTCAGAGCATTTCTATAGGGGTCTAAGCTGAAAGATGGGAGGATAGAGTCCCTCTGCAGCACCATTAGAGCTTTAGGAAATAGAGAGCCCTGGTCCCACTCCAGGGTGGTCCATCCTGAGAATAAGGAAGTGAGGTATCTCCAGTGGCAGAGAAGTCTCACCAAAGGGTAAGTGTTCTGCTATGCTCTGTGGTGCGGGGGACTGTATGAGGCTATAACTCTGGGAGCTATGGGCAGGAGCAGGTCCCTAACACGCGGGCATGGATGTGCCCAGCCACCGAGAGGGAGAGGAGCCAAGGCTACTGACAACAGGGCCTTCTGCACCAGCCTGGGTGGCTTCTCTCCCTGGGCATCTTGCATCCTGGCCAACTGAGCATCACACCCAAGGTAGATGGACCAGGGAACAGGGACGGGCAGGAAGGCAGGACCAGGGATGTGGAAGCTGGCTTCTCTGCGAGGTAGAGCCGTTTCGTCCCTCAGTGCAGAGAACTTCTGTGCTAGAGGAACAACTCCATGGCGTACAGTGTGTGGTTGCCTTCAGTTCCTCTCTTCTTGCAGATCCCAGGCAAGTGGTGCTGGCCTTGGGAAGCAGAAGCCGTGGCCCGAGTGGGAGAGGGCAGAGGCAGGACAGGAGGTGAAGGAGCAGTGATAGAGCAGGTGGGTGAAAGAGAGAGGGCAGAAGGCAGAGGATCAGCCAAGGCTGGCCACCAGGCTGCAGTGTGCAGTGAGGGGAATTGAGCCCCATGCACCCCAGAGAGAGTCGGGGCTTGGTCAGAGGGGCGCCTGTGAGTCACGGCCATAATCACACAACCCGAGTGACATCTTTTTTTTAAAATTTTTATTTATTTATTTATTTGGTCCTGTCAGAGGTGAGTATTCTATTGACAGCTAAATACTATAGGTGTTTGAATTCAACTAAACAATCTAACACTGTCTAGCAGTCTATAACATTAGTGGGTTATCCTCAGAAGTTATTGACTTGAGCCTTTTACAGCTCATTGTATTAATATGGATTTACTTTATATACCTCATTTTTATACTTTTCTACTGGATGGTTAAGACCAAGATATAGCAAGACCTATATACCCAGAATT